CACTGGCACAAACATGCGACATCGGCTGAAAGAACCATCGCGCTCGCGAGGAACGGTCAAGTTGAGCTGCTCATCCGATGTCAGGTTCGAGTCTGCCTCGAGGATCCAATCCGTGTTGCAATGTCGCTCCGGATCAGACTGGATAAAAAAGACGCAGGCAAACTCAAAGCCTAAAATCATATTCGGGAAGCTCAGTGCACAAATGATGAGCTTCTGGAAAGTTCCAAACTCCCCGATGTTCTGTAGAATATCTCCAAAGGTGGTCATGTTGATGGAATGTGTAGTTGAAGACACAGAACTCAACTCAAGTGTGATCAGTGTCCCTTTGTCTGATAAGCTGCAACTAAAGCACTCAGTCAAACCGAAATGGATTTAATTCCACAAGACTCATATTACAAAACATTGCAGGCTGCTACGGCATTTCTCCAGACTTTGGATCCCGCCCGACTCGTCCTTTCAAATGATCCAAATGTTGGCGAGCAAAACACGGATCCCGAAGCGGTGGCTTGTGCATTGCATCGCACCCTCCGCTGCGCGCTATTTATGAAAGCCAACCGGCCTGCAATATGTGATTACCGCAGTAGAATGAGGGTGTACTATGACACCAGGTTACGTAACAGAAAGTACTGTCGATCTTTCATTAAGTTTTACTGCATGCTGACATTCTCTGAGACCTCCTTGGTGTCAAAATGCATTGTTACATAACGTTCAGGAGAAATTTGCAGCGGGGGTGTCATGAATTGTGTTTTCTTGATTTTGTTTGGATGGGATTTTTTTTTTGTTTGTTTTTTCCCCGTGTCTATTTCATTGTGTCTACCTGTCAGCTCCCTTCAGCTACTCGTCTCTTGTCCAGGTGTACCTCATTGTCTTGTCAGTATTTTGTATTTAGTTCCCTGCTTTCTCTCAGTCAGTTTCTGTTCATTGTTCCTGTTGTTGTTGTCGTTGACAGTCCCGCTCTCTGGGGTGGCTGACAAGGGGCAAACACGACGCTCGCTGCAACCACACTCCAATGCCGCAAACACAGGAATGATGCCAAAAAAAAAAACCAAAAACAAACAAACAAAAACATAAATGCAAACTCACTGTCTGTGTGTGTGTGGGTGTGTGTGTGTGTGTGTGTGTGTGTGTGTGTGTGTGTGTGTGTGTGTGTGTGTGTGTATGAAATATCATGACCGCCTCTGAGTCAACTTACCTGGCTTGGCCTTGGCTCTTATAGCAGCTGGCCAGAAGACCTCATCAAAGTGTTTATCCACCCATTCATAATCGGATTCGCTTCTCATGAATTTATTTATTTAGGAACAGAGTACAGGATCGTGTAAATAAAATCATTTGCTCACACTCTTAATCTCGTAACTTTGTCGACACCGGATGGAGCCCACAAGAGAGACTAAAGTTTGGTGGATTTTCTTCTCTTTTGTTGAGTCAGCCCGAAGTCAGTTGCTGTCTTCTTTGTGAAGTTTCTGTCAGGGCAAGGGAGAAAGTCAACCACCTTTTCTCTTCAAACAATAATCGGGTTCCCAAAAAGGAGACGAAACACACTTATTTCACGACGTGTTTCTGTCATATTCTATAATATAACCTGGGTGCCATTTTTTGCCTGAAGGTAGAGACTTTGATAAGATCATTTGAAGACCAGTGCTGCAAATCTGTCATCCTTCACTTTCTTTCTACAGTACCGTGAATACAAGTGAAAACCTCCTCTCTGATCAGGTGCGTCGTCTGTTTTGTCCGTTGGGGTTTGACAGAATTATAAATTAACTAAACATTGTTATTGGTCCTCAACATGGCCTCTGCTTGTTGTTAATTCCGCTCATCAAATCCAAATTCATCAACGAAAACAGTCATTGTTTTACTAGAGGTTGGCTCAAACCGGCAAGGTTCGTCTCCCTACCTACAGTTTAACATGAGACCAGTTCAGAGCTCGGGTCCACGGACGAACAATCATCTACAGAACATCTGAAGTCACGCCACCACACAGCAACAGCTGCTTCGTCGGCTTACCGATTGTTCTGGACCTCACTGGTAGAATCGGGCAGTTCTGTTCTCCTCGTTTCAGGAAGAAGGAAACCGAGAGCCGCGCTGAACACCGTCAGGCTGCTGAAAATGATGATGGGTACGGACACGTGGTACACGGCCAACATGTTGACCAGCGGAGCCAGCAGTCCGGCTACTCTCATCGCTATGGCCCCAAAGCCAACTGCGGTTTGCCTGCCGAGAATGAAAACTGTCATTGTGTCGTAATCCACATTATTTTCAAACTTACCGTTTTCCCCACTCAAATAATTCATTGTGACAAGGCTGCACTCTCATCGAGCGGACGCCTACAACGGCCACTCCGGGTTGATCTGTTCGACACTGTGCACTTTTTTTTTTCCAGATATCGTTTAATATAGACTACGGGGGAATTGTACGGAAACATTCATGTCAAATATTGTGAGCTTACTTTCCAAAAACAGTTTAGCACCCCAATGAATGTGTACTAAAAAGAGGTACGGTTTGCGTATGATGTTTTTCAGACCCTGTCCAATGGAAACACCTTCAAATGTGGAGCTAACTCAATTATCTTTTTGCCCTGCACTTACAAATACATAAATATATGCAGACGTTCTTAGGGTGACGCCTTATTATAAATGAAAATATATCCTATCCATCCCGCATCAACTCAAGTTCCCTGCGACCTTGCAAAGTAATAAGAGCCCTAAAATGTTTACCTGACTGAAGTGGGAAAGAGCTCTTGAGAGTAGACCATGCATACGGATGTAGCCCCATTCAAAAAGAACTTCCCCGTCGTGACAAGAGCCGTAATAACGACAGGATTGTCTGGAAAGAGGGTTTGTGTACAGAACAGTGGAATTCAAACAGCCCTGGGTGCGAAAACAATACCCGGGCTGCAAAAGCATGAGATGGAATAGCAAATTGCTGTACCTTGTGAGAAAGCCAGGGTCAAGAAGCAAACAAAGCCGCCAGTCAGCAGGGTCACAATCAGGGAGATTTTTCTCCCCAGCAATTCCAAAACCCAAATGCAGAGAATGTGTACGGGTATTTCCGCGATGCCAAAGATGAACTGAACCAGAAAGATGTCCAAACCGAATTTACCCACGTTCAGAATAAGACTGAAGTAGCCTAGATTCACCGAAAACCTAAAAGGGGGAAATAAAATGAAAGGTCCAAATTGATAAGTTGAAACTAAAACCTCACGCCACCATTCATATTCGTGTGTGTGTGCGTGTGTGTGTGTGTCTGAGAGAGAGAGAGAGAGAGAGAGAGAGAGAGAGAGAGAGAGAGATGATAAAAATGGTAAATTGTGGTTCCCCTACCATGTAAAACACACAATGACCAAATATTTCAGTAAGACCGCTGTGGTAAAAATGATTTTCATTGTTCCAGCTTGTGGCTCTTCTTTCTCATGTCCCTGTAAATGTGTGATGGAGGCGTTGAACAAATCATTAAACTCTGGGGTTAGAAGTCAAACTTTTGCTGAAACGTGATTGTAATTGTAAAAAGTTACCATGCAGTCCAGCATGTTCTCCGGGATTTCCTTTTTATTGATCGCCGCAACTTTCCTGATCAACCTCTTTGCTTCCTCGAGTCTCCCTTGACTCAACAACCATCTCACAGATTCTGGAATCCACCTTGAAGAATGTCAAATACTGGAGGAACTTGGCAGCCAAGAGGTTGAATCACGCCGCATTGTTTCACATTTTAGTACATACCAAATGTAGAGCGCGACGATGGCATAGACCGCTGCCAGCCCGTATTGTATTATTCTCCAATTCCGAATTTCATACACCAGTCCGGCCAGGACGCATTGTCCCAAAGCAGCAAACATTTGGCACAAACAGGAGGCGTAGGATCTTTTGGTGATCCCTAACCACTCGGTAGCTACAAATACATTTTTAAAAACACTGATTCAAGAGAGAGAAAAAAAACAAACATCTTGTATATTCAGAGTAGTGGTCCCCAACCTTTTTTGACACACGGTGGCTCGGGACCACTGATTTAGAGGGCATGTGAGGTTTGATGTAAAAAGGAACACGCCCACCCGTTTCGTTTGCCATACCTAATACGGTCGAGTTAATTCTATATCCTGCAAGACCAACTCCAACCAGGAACTGTGCAACGATGTAAACGTAGACATTTGGAGATGCACCAGACACAATATTGCATATGAACAGGATCACTGCTGGCATCTGTGTGGTTCTCAAACGGCCACATCTGAAATTGAGAAGCAAAAGAAGGCTTCGCGGCTCTTTCTATTCTACACACACGTGGTCAAAGCTCATGCATGAAATTTGTTTTCATCAACAGCATTCCTGGTCTGAAAGTCTCAGAAGAATCGTAAGCATTGAAAGCGAATCAAACTTCTATATCCGGACATCAGTTAAAATTCTGCCCTGGCTGCAGCCGAGCCCACAAAGGTGCTGGAAGCGTAGAGTTGATCGTTGTGTGATTTAGTGGGAACGGAGACGTGCAATTGAAATGAAGTATGTCCCGGTTCTTTTGTCTAAAGAGTGTATCTGGAACTTACGGTTCAAGAATAGGGCCAAAAATAATGGAACCCGAGAGTATGCCAGCCATGAAGATTGTCTGCACAACGGAAGGCATACCGGACCTGTCACAGACGAGATCAAACTGCAAAGCAAAAGTCACCGAATTAGCATGACGTGAGACGCGGTAAGAGCACAACCGCGCACGGTCACTTACATCGGTGACTATCGTGGCTTCATACATTGTGTCCGAGGACACCCAACCATTCTGGCACGTCGTCGTCTCGTTGAGTCCACGCTCCCTGATGGTTCCGATGTCCCATTCCACTGGAACAAACATGAGACACCTGCTGAAAGAACCATTCTGTTCCCGAGGAATGGTCAGATTCAGCTGCTCATCCGACGTCAGGTTGGGAGCAATCTTGCGAATCCAGTCTGTGTTACAATGTCCGTCTGGATCTGACTGGATGAAAAGAAAACTGGAAAAACACACAGGCAGTAAAAAATTGGGAAATGTTAGCGCTAAAAGAATGACCTTCTGAAAAATTCCAAATTCTCCAATGGTCCTCAGAATCTCCCCGAACTCCATTGTTTTGACATGTGATACAAAGTGGAAGATCGCTCTGTTACGGTTCAGGCAACTGAATATTTAACACTCAATGAGTTAATGTTTAATGGCCATGACTGTACATATTTGTGGGTTTAAGGATGAAACCAACAAGGTTGACATTATTCTATTAGTCAATTCCTCATTATTTTTTTTTTTTTGGGAGGGGGGACTTTTCATTTACCAGATGAAGGGTGAGCACCACTTTTGCAAACAACTTATTTTTTGTCCCTTATTACCACCAACCTTTTAAATCTCTTTTAATGCTACATTGCAGGTAAATCTGAAAATAAATATATATTTATTTCAAAAAGATAAACAAAGGTATTGGAGTGCAGGATGAAAAATCATAAACACCCCTCGTCCCACAAAAAAAGATAAACGGGGACAGTCTCCCCACCGGGCAGCCTGGTAGTCCAGTGGTTAGCGCATCACTCTCACAGTGCAGAGGTTGTGGATTTGATCCCGGCTCCGGCCTTCCTATGTGGAGTTTGCATGTTCTCTCTGTGCCTGTGTGGGTTTTCTCCGGGTACTCTGGTTTCCTCCCGCATTCCAAAAACATCCATGCCAAAAAAATCCTGAGATTTTTTTGCTTGGGCTCTTACAATCAATGGAGCACAGCCAACTTTTTTCCTTACGACTCATAACACATCTTAGACTTAATTGTGACAAATTCCATACAACGAGGTCTAAGCTAAGATTCAAACCCAGAGTGATTTGATTCTTCGCATGCAGGGAAGGGGCCTGGCTGCCGGGGATTTAGCGCCTCGGCACAATGTGCGAAAATGTCAGCATTTGATTCCAATAAAAATAATATTAATAATAATAATGATGCAGTGATAGGGAGGGTGATTCCCGTGGGCATCTGATGTCAATCCAACATGAAAATGATCTTGAAGATTGTCATATGGATGTCGAATTGGCATCAGACGCCTCCTGGGAAGTTTGTTCAGAGTAAAAGGTTGATGAAAAGTAATTCATCACCAGAAAACGTACACACACACACACACACACACACACACACACACACACACACACACACACACACACACACACACATGATGTGCAGGGGCATGCTGTGTCATCCAAGTCATCAAATCACGCACCTTTCGGTTACACTGTTGTGTGTTTTGGCTTCTCAGAGAAAAACCTCTCTGCTATCCCGAGAGGCTTGCCAAACGCGGGGGACGGGCTTCCGTTGAGTTCGATTGTTTGTTGTGTACGAACTGCACTTGAGATAATATTAGCTATACAAATGTTAACAAATGATTCTTCCTCCGCAAATATGCCGGCAGTTTAATCAAGTATTCAAAATTGAATTTGTTTTTTTAAATTACTCTGATATGCGAATTCTTATGCATTTCCACAAGCCCTAAATTACACTTACTGTAGCCAAGATTTAAAAAAAAAAAAAAAAAAAATTGCAAATTAAAAACCACACAAAACATCCGCAAAACAACAACAACAAAAAAAAAGACGCAACTAATAAATGCTGCGAACAGCCAAACGCTGCAAATACAGGAATGATGAAAAAATAAATAAAAATAAATAATAAACACATGAATGCATCACTGTACATGCTGGTCTTTCTTCTCAAGGTCATGTTGGTAAATAATATTGAACCGACCCAATTTTTTTAAGGGAGCAGAACTCCTCAAAATCCAGCAGTCACCGGAAGCGAGTGCAGAACCATCCAACATCATTTATTCAGTTATGCTCAATGTTTTACTCTGTACATCTTGTAGCTCGTGGACTACAGTTTGGTTGATTCTTTGCACTTTTCAGCCTGCATGGAGTCCCTTCCTGTTTTTGCAGCGACCCCTTTTCTGTAAAGACATCAAACAAAATAACACAAACAAAACATGGGTTAGGTCTTTAAAAACTTTACGGACAGTCCTATCTTGAGCTGAATCACCTTGGTTTATCACCACATAAAATGTCATTGACACTGACAACATTTGGAAGTCCGTTATTGATTAATAATACATCATGAGCTGAAAAAAAAAGTCTTTCTTGAGATTGGTCACAATGTGGTTCAGTATGTACATCCATGTATACGTACTCGGCAACAGTTTTCCAGCTTCCAGAGTCACAGATAGTACCTGGCAAATGACCGTAATGTGATTTCTTTGTTTAGCTTGACTTGTTAAATAAAGCAAATTAAGAGCAAATGACTGGTCCCATGTCGGTAAGTCCTGTTTCGTCCTTCTCGTTGTCCCTGTGACCCTATATGCCTCTCCAACGTTGCAGGCTCCGTTTCAGAGATCCCGCGTGTAAGTACGCCTCAAATCCTTCCAAATCCAGCACTTTAGTTCCTGCTCTGGCCTCCATTACCCTCCCTTTTCCGCTCCTCTGCTCCACTCTGGCTGCACTCACCTGTTCCCTTCAATATCCTTGGAGGAATCTAGAAGGTCAATGCTGCTGGTTTCAGGAAGGAGGAAAACCAAAGCTCCACCAAAAACGCCGAGGCTGCTATAGACGCTGATGGGTATTGTCCAGTGGTATACAGCCAACATGTTGACGAGTGGAGAGAGCAGCATGGTGGCTTTCGCAAACGTAGACACCAAACCAACTGCTGTTTGCCTGCCAGAGAAAAGCGAATAGCATAGAGTAGATACAAAAAAAAACAAAAAAACAAAACAAAGGCCAAGATGTGGAAAACACCCAAGAAAATGGTTCCCCACTTCACAGTTATAACAGATACAAAAATAGTGTGTCCAGACTGTAAGCAAGTCGACAATAACCGAACTTCCCCCTAAACCATAACTGGATGAACGGTAAAAAAAAAAAAAGAATAGCCTGAATAGAAATGTATGTTTACCTGACCGTAGTGGGAAAGAGCTCTTGAGAGTAGACCATACACACGGAACTCGACCAGTCTAAAAAGAACTTCCCTGTAGTTACAAGCGCCACAATAGCAACAGAATTGACTGTAATGAGAGCACAGTACATGTTGAGTCCCCATGCGCGTGTACAAATGATATCTATGAGGATGCGGAAGAATTGGGGTCACCTTGAGAAAAAGCCAGGGTTAAGAGGCAAAACCCCTCACCTGCCAAAAGGGTTAAAATGAGGGATTTTTTTCTCCCCAACAATTCCAAAAACCAAATGCAGAGGAGGTTTGCAGGTATTTCCGTGATGCCAAACAGGAACTGAACCAGAAAAATGTCCAAACCATAGGTACCCACATTCAGGACGATACAGAAGTAGCCTAGAGTTACTGAAGCCCTTCAGGGGAAAATTAGAAATGTATATTAAAAAAGATACCAAAACGTGTGGATGCACTGGATGTGTGTTTATTCATTTGGGACTCTGCTGTTCTGCCGGTGAACTTCAAACGACGTTGGCAATGATGCGTAACTTTCGACAAGCTCGCTGAGGTGGCTCAGGCAACTTCTGAACCCCAGAGGTCACCCAGGTGAGATGGTCCGGGCATGCTTCACTGACAACTTTAGTTGGCTTGTAGGAACTTAGTCTCAAAACTGACCTGAGAATGTCTCAGTGTCCTTCCAGTGGAACTGGATGAGGTGGCCCAAACTTACAATTCCTGGTATCCCTGTTTAGACTGCTTCCCATGTCACCGATACCTTGTGTATACCTTAAAAAATGATGTGTTTGAAAATGTGCTTTACTTACCAGACAAAGCCAATAATCAACAAATATTTCACCAACAGCGGTATAGTGAAAATGATCTTCATTGCGCCACTTCTGGTTTCATTTTCGTTTTCCTCGTATACTTGTAACTGTTCGATTGAGAACAATGAGTTACTACTTTTGAGTGAAAGACCAGAAAGGTTATTTGTGCTGTTTTGTTCATCACCTTACCATATTGTCCAACACATGATCTGGGATTTCCTGCTTATTCAATGACGCAACTTTCCTGATCAAAATCTTTGCTTCCTGAATTCTTCTTTGACTCAACAACCACCTTGCAGATTCAGGAATCCACCTTTATATAATGTCAAATGTCAGAAAACCTTGGATGCCAAAATAATCAATTATACAGGGGAACTTTTTTCCTATTACATACCACATGTAGAGGACAACAAGCGCATACATCGCTGCCATCACATACTGTGCTGTTCTCCAGTTCCGAATTAAATAGACAAGCCCAGCCATGACACATTGTCCCAGGGCACCACCCATTTGGCTCAAACATGAGGGCAATGACCTTTTGGTG